GTGTTTTCTGACCATATTATTATGTGATTGAAAATAGGAGATTTGGGGATATTTTTTGGGGACAACCAGAAATTGTTGCGGACAACCCGATTTGATGCCTGGGTTGTCCGCAGGACAACCACATTTTTTTTCTTATTTCGAGCACTGATTATTGTATCCCCCCGGGGGGGGGGCACTCCGATTGTTAAAGGTACTGGGGACGTGCCGCTGGACAGGGTATATTTTCCAAACATCATTATTGGCACAGGGTATATTTTCTGAGCATCATTATTGGCACGGTTATCTAGATACACACCCATCAAGCTGATATTGGACCAATTATCACCAGGCCAATATTGGACCAATATGGGCAGATATTGGTCCAATATTGGCCCAATATTAGCAAAACAATATTGGGCCAATATCAACAGGCCGATATTGGACCAATATCTGCCTATATTGACTGGACAGGACATAACCGAAATGTGCAATATTGCAACAGGGTATACTTTTTAGTGCAGTATATTGGGACAGGGTGTATTTTAGGGCGCAAAGCGGTTTGCGACAGGGTCAGGTTTTCAAGGTCGCAGAGGCACCCCCCTACCTAGTTCCGAGGCATGTGCCCCCCCCTGGGTTGTATCCAGGGCTGTCGCCAAGGATTGACTAATGTTGAACCCCAGTCCACGACAGCGTGAAGCGCCGTAAAAGGGGAAAGCGTGTGAGGGGGTGTCCCCCTCTCCCTGGTGGGGGTCTGCCGGGCCTCCCACGAAAATTTTTGAAATGCTACATGGAAAATGGTGTACGCTGGCGAGATTTAAAATGAAATTTTAACATTTGAAACAGTAAAAAGTACATTGCAACTGTTTAATTTCATAATTAAAAAAAAAAATTCGGAAATGATGTTGAAGCCCGAGCTTCCGGGCCTCTGCCTGACGATGTGCCTGGTATCTACGTGAGGACAGGTGAAGAGTAGCTCTAGCTCTACCGGTGCAGCCCCTTCGTCCCGCTACTTCGTTCTTCACTACTTTACCTGAACCACTTCACTACTTCTACTACTTACCCTTCTACCTTTCTTTTTCTTCTTTATTTTTTTCTTTACTTTGCTACTTGTGCTTGTGTGCCACATGTTACATTTTCGTTGGGTTACATTAATATATCTACACAAGCACAAGTTTTCCCAATGCCTACCTAAAGCTAATTATAAATTAATAATATATGTATCGTTTCCCAATATAAATATAATACAATATTTTAATACACTTCAATTCACTTCACTTTAATACAATTCAAATTAGGCTTATACAGTTCCGGTACGTCTATCGATCAATACATGACTGTTTCGTTGAGCTACTGGTAGGACTAGTAGCTTAGTACTATAGTACTAGTAGTCACAATGTAAATACTTTGCCGGTATATATGATTGGAACAATTTTATCACACTATGTAAATTGTCGATTGATGGACCAGGCTATGAAACTAATGTCAATACACACTACTCTTTTGATGAATGCATGGCTAGCTGCCTATGTTGTTATTCTTACAAGTGCCAACTGTTTGCATGGTGTTTGCAGCTGCTTTGTGGGCAACCTATTGCATGTACAGTAAAAATGCGAAATTGGCTTACACTTACACGGAGTGACTTGCAAAGTATATGAAACCATCCACAAAGTTAATTAATCCCTTTGTAATTGTTTGCTATCGATTATGCGATGTTTGTGTCATCCAAAGGAATTTAGATTTTTCATGCTGGTATTTAGCAGTGTTCCTCGCCAGATATGCATGCAAGTCGAGACAAACTTGATAATGAAATCTCCAACTCGATTACTCAACATGGAAGGTGAAATGAGGAAGGCTTGTTGAACTCAAGTAATCCTATCTCGATTAGTTCATATAGTGTGTGTGTGTGTGTTATGGAGAAGGTATTGTTTTGCATTTCAGTAGAGCAAATCTCCAGCTGATATGTACATGTAGTGATGGTATTCTCCTATGTGGCTAGGACATTTGCAGCTAGCCAATCACGGCAATCTATTGCTGGAAGAAACTGTATCCGCCGTATAAAGAGAACATTCTCAAGAACAGGTAGGTGTTAAATTCCCAAGTATCTAATATATATATACAGGGTTTCTTATACATAAGAGGCACAGTGGCGCACCGCCGTTGTCAAATTTAATATCGCCGTTGTGAAAATGTTCCTGTATTTACTGATAAGTATATCCTGTATCTATACATGTAACTTGTAAGTATATCAATACATCCTGTATTTGAATCCATCATGCGCTTTTTTTCCCAAACTGGCCATTACCCCCTTTGTCTAATGTTCCCTCAGAAGAAACCCTGATATATATAGAAAGAATTTGACTGCTGGGTTTGCTAGTAGAATCGATACATGCCTGGATGTACGAGGCTACAATATCACAGTGAAATTTCAATAGCTAAATTTGGTTGAAGAAGGTTTATGCTCTTTAAATCGTATAATTTCTATGGCATTCTGTACTGTCAGTGTGTTACATGTAACGTATGCCACTGGCAGTGGCCACTGCCAGTGCATGTGGTGGTGGTACTGTGTAGTTTTTGCCTGCGTTAATTAGGTACAGGTGGCAGCTCTCTATTTCAGCCTGTAGGCTTGTGTAGGTAAATGGATGAGTGCTTACCTATTCTGTCTTGTAAATAGTTGTTGCTACTACGTACGATGGGAGCTTCCATCTTTAATCTTAAGACACTTAAACGTATGCACCATCTCGTGGCAACTTTCATAATGACCCCAACAAACATTCTTTTGAGAAGGTTCCTGATACCATCCCTGTGCCTTCCACTGTTTCGGTGTGTATGTGAACACATTTGGTACTAACAGGGTTTACTAGAATCCCACCACTCCACCACAGAGTCACCGCAGTAGACGTTAGATGAGCGCTGTCGCTCCGCGGCACTTGTTTCAAACGTTTTCCGGTGGGTAAAATTGAAAGCTTGGCGTTGGTCTAATTCTGTTTTGGCTTGAAAACTTGTAACCATTAGAGGTGCTGCCCAGGAGGCTGGACTGGTCTGTATTAATTACGCGTATCCTGTAGATAGATAAATAGATAGATAGATAATCTCTTCTAGGGCTAGCTAGGTAAACCTTCTGAGCAGAAGATCATATATGCATGTTTGTTGGTCTTGTATTACGTACACGCGTACAGCAAATAACCAAGCATATAACTAACTACTGCTTGGTTTCATTTTCATTCCAGCCATGTTTGTGTTGTTGTGATTTATCATATATTTCTTTCTCTCACTTCAATCCTTCAATCCAATTCTCTCTCTTTCTATATCTCATGGCAATCCTGCACCTCAGCTTTAACGATAATAATAATAATTTTCGTGTGCCCACTGGGCTACTGGCCTAGTGGGCTAGCGAAGAGATTCACAGTTTTCACTGGCAGGTGCCGCCGCGTGCAAGGCTCTCTTCTAGACACCGTTTCCACACTCTATCTCTTTTTGCTAGAGTACTAAGCAGAGAGTCTTTGGTATGACTCGGCCGGGAGCCCAACCCACGACCTTCCACGTGCGAGGCGAGCACTCTACCAATTGAGCCATCGCAGCGCTGCTTATTATTATTATTGTTTATTATTATTGTTTATTATTGTAGCTTTCACGATGTGCAGTGAGGAAGAGAAGCCGCACGGCCACAAGAGGTTCGTCATCGACGCAGACCCCGGCGTTGACGACACACATGCGATCATGATGGCGTTGGCTCACCCCAACGTTGAAGTTGCCGGTATTACGATTGTCGGAGGCAACTGCGACATCGATCAAATCGTTCTCAATGCCGTCAGAGTGTTGAAAACCTGCAATAGGCTGGACGTAGGTCGTTAATTGTTACAGTGGTATTTTCGTTGCCGTGTTACAGGTCATTACATTGAGAAACGTGATGTGTAATAGGAATGTTCTGTAGCTACATGTGTGTATATATATATCAGGAGTAGTTCAATGGAATTCTGATAATCTACTCCTGATGTGTGGTTGGGGTAACTGGAAAATTAGAGTTATATTGAAATAGGAAAGAGGGGTACATTCTAAGAATGCACTTACAGAATTGCTGGCTACTTTAATTTACACATCATATTCACTTAATAACCACATAAAATAGAATATGGAAATAGTACTACTGTTAATAATTATCAGTAGCATGAAAAATATTGTTATTAGGTTGGTTAGTGATGATGACATTGAACGTACATTAGAGTGTTTAGGGGTTGGCGGTATATGTTAGAGATGTCGTCTCGGGTTCCACGAATATAGCACCTTCAGAGAACTTTATCACAAGTCACCACACCAGTCACACACCAGTTGTGTATATATTTAACCGGGGAGGTTAGACCTTATTGTCTGACCGGCCAGGCTCCCCACGGGGGATGATTACCCAGGCTTGCATCCATACGGGCTGTGAAGAGGGAAACCCTGTTTCAGTCCCAGGGGCAAGTGGCTTCGGCTAGAGGAGTAGCGCCCCCACGCACGTATTTAGCTAAGCATGGAACCGTGAATATAAACATTAGAGATATAGTGGTATATATACTGTGGAGATATTGTATCATTATACATCCACTGTGATATAATGGAGTGGTGATGCAATGAAGTGTGACACACATGAAATGCCAATAATAATAATTATGGTAAATAAATAATTCGCTCTTTCTTAGAAGGCATTAGAAACCTATTTTGAAATTCGGAGTATCCAAGATCGAGCTAGTGAGGCTTTATAGCCATTGGATCATCACTGGATATCAAGCGCACCATTCCTTCTCCAGAGGCCCTTGTTCCCCTTGTCCTCCAGTATATTTGTACATTTTAGCTCATCTGACGTAGTCAGATGCAGCTTGTAGAATCGCATGATTGTCCGTGCGTCCGTGCGTTCGTCCGTCTGTGCGTCAACAGTTGGGCACAAATCTTAACCGCTCGACGTATGGTCACAATATTCGGGACGTGGGGGGTTAATCCGAAAACGAGTTGGGATGTTGAAGCTGGGGGTCAAAGGTCAAAGGTCAAGAGGTGTAAATGAAGGGGGAACATTTCCTCCTTAACTCAAGGTATAGGAAGGAAATGCAGATTTGCGGCACAAATCTAAACGGCTCGACCTAGGCTCGTGATAGTCGGTGTATAGCATCATGGTAGGAAAAGCCATCACTGTGCCAAAATTGGAGGTCACAGGTCAAAGGTCAATGGGGCAGAGGGCAGATTTTAGACATTTTCTGGAGGACATGGTCTGACGGAGCGATTGAAAAACTTTTTTGTTTCAGCGGTGACCTAATTTTACGGCTTTATTGAAAGGACCATGAAATGTACTTTCTGCTGACATGCGACAAGAGTAAGTGTCGGATAACCTTTTGACCTCTCAAGAGGAGGGTTAAACATGGATTTGTTTACTGTTAGAAAGAATTTGGACGGAGCCCGGGTTTGCTAGTAGAATCTATACATGCCTGGATGTATGAGGCTACAATGTCACAGTGAAATTTCAAAAGCTAATTTTGGTTGAAGAAGGTTTATGCTCCTTAAATCGTATAATTTCTATGGCATTCTGTACTGTCAGTGTGTTACATGTAACGTGGTAAATGACCCCAACGAACATTCCTTTGAGAAGGTTCCTGATACCATCCCTGTGCCTTCCACTGTTTCGGCGTGTATGTGAACACATTGGGGATTAACAGGGTTTACTATAATCCCACCACTCCACCACAGAGTCACCGCAGTAAACGTTAGATGAGCGCTGTCGCTCCGCGGCACTTGTTAGCTCATCTGACGTAGTCAGGTGCAGCTTGTAGAATCGCATGATTGTCCGTGCGTCCGGCCATCCGTGCGTCCGTCAACAGTTGGGCACAAATCTTAACCGCTTGACGTACGGTCTTGATATTTGGGACGTCGGGGGGATCGTGAAAGGACTCGGGATGTCGAATTTGGGGGTCAAGGGTCAAAGGTCAAGATGTGTCAATGGAGGGGGAATATTTCTCCCTTAACTTAAGGTATAGGAGGAAATACGGAATTGCAGCACAAATCTCAACGGCTCGACCTACGCTCTTAATATTCGATGGTGAATCGCATGATTGCCCGTCCGTGCGTCCGTCCGTGCGTCAGTCCGTCAACAGTTGGGCACAAATCTTAACCGCTTCACGTACGGTCTTGATATTCGGGACGTCGGGGGGGATCGTGAAAAGGACTCGGGATGTCGAATTTAGGGGTTAAGGGTCAAAGGTCAAGATGTGTCAATGGAGGAGGAATATTTCTCCCTTAACTTAAGGTATAGGAGGAAATACGGAATTGCGGCACAAATATCAACGTCTTGACCTACGCTCTTAATATTTGATGTATAGTGTGATGGGGAGGAAACCCATCACCAGTGCAAAATTGGAGGTCATAGGTCACAGGTCAAAGGGCAGTGGGGGAAAGGTCAGATATCAGACATTTTCTGAGGACAAGGTCTAACGGAACGAGTGCAAAACTGTTTTGTTTCAGCGCTGACCTACCGTTTTTATCACTTTATTTGAAAGGACCATGAAATCTACTTTCCGCTGACATGCGAAGAGTAAGTGTCTTATAACCTTTTGATCCTCAAGAGGAGGGTTAAACATGGATTTGTTGACCGTTAACAAAGGACTGAACTGCTTTTGCTATTAGAGCCGCCTCCACCCGCCCCTCCCCCTCCCCCTACACCCTCCCCCACCACCACCACTACGCTCGCGCTCTACTCATATCCATGATAACATGTTAATATAGCGAAGTCATTAAAGTTACACAGCTGTATTCTTTTGTACTTGTACTTCCAGTAGAGTATAGCAAAGCCTATCATAGATTTAGATCTTTATTAGTAGTATCCTAGATATATGCTCTGCAAGCGCGAACGCATGGCAGGGCGACTTATTCGGTTGCCAGTAAGCTTATGCAGAGAATACCTGGCTACAGTACACGTCAGTTGAGCGCTGTCGCTCTGCGGCACGTGTTTATATATTTTTTATTATATATATTTTATATATTTTTAACAAGATCTAGCATACGTAACTTCTGAAAACATCAATACGCGATGACGTTTGCACGTCGGTGTTTAATTGCCTTGGTGTTGTCGATGTCTAGATTCCGGTGTACCGTGGCTCGGCCGTCTCGCTCTTGGGCGAGATTCCTCAAAAGTCTGAATACCACATGCTCGACGGGCTAGGCGACGTGCCCCTCTTCAGGCGGAGAGCGATGAGGATCCGCCGGATGTTGGTGTGGTGCAATCAGAGCATGCCGTGCAAGCCCTTGCTGCGACTCTCGCAGTGGTATCGAGGTAACGTGGCAAGCCTTACTGCGACTCTCGCTAGGAGTAATCGAGTACGTGCAACCCTTTACTGCGACTCTCGCAGTGGTATCGAGGTACGTGCAAGCCTTACTGCGACTCTCGCAGTGGTATCGAGGTACGTGCAAGCCTTACTGCGACTCTCGCAGTGGTATCGAGGTACGTGCAAGCCTTACTGCGACTCTCACAGTGGATCCGGTAGTGCAAGCTTATGTGCGACTATCATCAGTTGGTAATCAGAGGTACGTGCAAGCCTTTAACTCGCGACTCTCACAGTGTCATCGAGGCACGTGTTGAGTATTACTGCGGATGGCTACGCAGTTTGGTATCCGAGTACGTGTGAGTATACTGCGATGGTAGCAGCAGTTATCGAGAGGTACGTGTGAGTAATACTGCGATGGTATGGTGCAGTGGTATCCGAGCGTACGTGTGAGTATGACTGCGATGGTAGCACTTATGGTATCGAGGACGTGTGAGTATTACTCGCGATGGTAGCAAGTGGTATCGAGGTACGTGTTGAGTTTACTAGCGATGGTAGCAGTGGTATCGAGGTACGTGTGAGTATTACTGCGATGGTAGCAGTGGTATCGAGGTACGTGTGAGTATTACTGCGATGGTAGCAGTGGTATCGAGGTACGTGTGAGTATTACTGCGATGGAGCCAGTGGTTTATCGAGGTACGTGCTGGAGTAATTACTGCCAACGCCGTTAGCAGTGGTATCGAGAGGTACGTGTGAGTATTACTGCGATGGTAGCAGTGGTTATCGAGGTTACGTGTTGAGTATTCTGCGATGGTAGCAGTGGCTCATCGAGGTACTGTGTGAGTATTTACTGCGATGGTATGCAGTGGTATCGAGCGACGTGTGAGTATGTACTGCGATTGCGTCTGGTATCGAGGTACGTGTGAGTATTTACTGCCATGGTAGCAGTCGTATCGAGGTACGTTCGTGAGTTATTACTGCGAGGGGTAGCAGTGGTATCGAGGTACGTGTGAGTATTCTGCGATGGTAGCAGTGGTATCGAGTACGTGTGAGTATTACTGCGATGGTAGCAGTGGTATCGAGGTACGTGTGAGTATATACCTGCGATGGTAGCAGTGTATCGCAGGTACGTGTGAGTATACTGCCGATCGTAACAGTGGTATCCGAGGTAGTGTTGAGTATTATTACTGCGCATAGGTAGCAGTGGTATCTAGGTATGTGTGAGTATTACTTGCGATCGTAATCAGTTTAATAAAAAGGTATCGAGGTTTACGTGTGAGTATTACTGCGGATGGTGAGCAGTGGTATCGAGGCACGTGGTGAGTAATTAACTGCTATGTAGCAGTTTTGGTATCGAGGTACTGTGTGAGTTATAAACATTGGCGAGGCGTAGCAGTGGTATTGAGCAGTATGTGTGGAGATTACTGCCGATGGTATGTCAGTGCGTATCAGAGGTGCTACGTGTGAGTATGACTGCCTGATGGTAGCAGTGGATATCGAGGTACGCTGTGAGTATTACTGCGATTGTAGCATGTTGGTATCGAGTACGGGTGAGTATTTTACTGCGATGGCTAGCCCAGTCGGTATTGAGTTACGTGTGGCAGTATTACTGCGATTGTGTAGCAGTGTGTATCGAGCGTACGTGTGAGTATTACTGCGCATGGGTAGCAGTGTATCGATGGTTACGTGTGAGTATTACTTGCGACTGGTAGCCAGTGGTATCGAGGTACGTGTGAGTATTCTGCCGATGGCTAGCAGTGGTATCGAGGTACGTGTGAGTATTACTGCGATGGTGCAGTGGTATCCGAGGTATTGCTGCGTGTGAGTTTACTTGCGTGGTAACAGGTGGTATCGAGGTACGTGTGAGATATACATAGACAGGCATGGTAGCAGTGCGTATCGAGGTACGTGTGAGTATTTTACTCGATGGTAGCAGTGGTATCGCATGTACGTGTTGAGTATTGTGGACTGTCGATGCTAGCAGTGGTATCGAGGTACGTGTGAGTTTTACTTGTTGGTAACAGTGGTATCGGGGGGGGCGTGGTATGCTGCAGGCCCATTATCAAGGGACTGTACATTGCTCACATTACTATTTGTCGGGTATGTGCCCGTATTTACTGTGGCTGTTCGCAGTGGCCTGTGTATCGAGGTATGTTGCACAAGCTGTTACTGCAATAAAATAATAAGAACACAAAGGTGTCTTATTGTGGGCTGTAGCCTAATCAGTCCAGTTAGAGATTCATGCATTGCACACTGTTTTACTATATAATTCAAGTGCCGTGTTAAAGCGCAATCATTGCCGAGTTTTTTCAGCGTTTTTCAGTGTTTATTCTCACTCTGCATGATGCCTACCGTTGTTTTGCTTGAGTAACACGTCAATTTGTTGAAATAACAATATTAAATGTCTTAGAATCCGCCCATGCCAAAGTCAAAATTCATGCTACGGATTGCAATTTGCTTCTCTGGTCGATTTTCGCTGTCATGTCTCGCGGTACCGCGACACACACCGGACGTCAACAAGGGTGCAGTAATGCCACGGAGATAATTTTGCATCAGATGTAAACACAGACGCCGTCCATAGTATTAGCTAGCGTACACAAAACAGGAGTGTTAGCGGTTAAGTTGTAACCTCATAACATATTATCTTCAAAAGTTCCTTAGCGGACTATTAAACGAAGGACGGAGCAGAGAAGTGCGATCAAACTCGATTGTATCAAAACTGCCGGATTATCAACCACACAAATTAGATGCCCCTTTGTTTTAATTTATGTTCGCTTGTTGTAAAGACGCCATTTGTGATTTTTGAAAGTCCTGACTCGAAAAAATTTATTGCTGGTATGTGGTCAAATCAATTTTTCTATGCTATAACTGCATAAAATATTGGTGTTTTGAATGTTGGTGTAATCAGTGATATTTTTGCTGTCAGGTGAGACTATATTCAGCTATATTTAGTTTTTCTGAGCAAAATTATCGCAATAATCGTTTTAACCATGTGCATGTATTACGCGTTACACAGCACCATAACTAATGTGCAGATATGTACATGGCTCGTCTTTATATATGCGGTTCTAACGTTCCTAAAAATCTAATGTTATTATTGATGTATTTAGTATAGTCTAAATTATAGTATTTTTCTCAACTTTATTATCACTAATAAAAGTCTGATTCTCAGACTATACGGCGCACCAGTCACATGTCTCGCATGGATGTTGTTCATGTCGTTATGTTCCAGGAGACTTGACTCTCATTGCACTGGGACCGCTCACCAATATTGCAATGGCAATAAGATTGGATGCAGAATTTGGAAAGCGTCTGAAGCACTGCTACATCATGGGGGGAAATACAGAAGGTATAGCTAATGTATATTTTGCTATTTCTTGGTTTTGAGCAGTGGCGTTTGTAAGTGTCAAACAGTAAAACTACATTAATAGTTGTGCGTTTCAAACTATATCGAGTACAAAGTGAGTTAAAGCTCTTGAGAAATAAGACTATAGCTCTTAATAATAGTCAGATTGATCTGACATTTCCACATTCTATTAAAGAAACACTACACAAGTGGTCAGGTTACTCTGAAAAGGTGCATATATACAGTCGTTGTGCAGCGTTAAAGGTGCGACTACTCGTAGTAAGCCTGCTGGCTAGTGCTGCCACCATTTATAACCTCACTTAAAGCGGGCAGCACACTTCACCATTTTCGTTGCTCGTACAGGCAATTTTCGTGGTCGCCAAAAAAATGGCCAAGTGTGCGGGGGCCGGCAACGACCACTCACCGCGGAAATTTAGTGGTGACCACGAGTTGCCGAGAATCAAACCGGTTTGATTTCTCACCACGAAAATTGCTCGTGGTGGCAACTTGTGGTGAAGTGTGCTGTGACGCGGGGGCAACGCCACAAAAATTGCCGACCACGAAAATTGCCTGTACGAGCAACGAAAATGGTGAAGTGTGCTGCTAGCTTAGGGAGGATGTGAACCTGTGCCTGCTTAGCAGCCATACTGTTGTGAACACTCGGTGTGTGTGTGTGCGTGCGTGCGTGCGTGCGTGCGTTTAATGTCTGACTTATACTCCCAATGCAGGCCAAGGAAACATCACAACATCAGCTGAATTCAACTTCCACCATGATCCCGAGGCGGCAAGCATCGTTCTTAACGAGTTGCAATGCCCAATCACGCAGGTCGGCTGGGAAGTGACACTGCGAAACATGATATCCTGGGTGAGTGTCAGACTGTCCGTTATATTTCTGCGAGACATACAATCAAACCTAAAATAATGGACATCCCTATAAAACAGACACCCATCTCTAATAGTCTCTATATAGTTACCTCTGAGTGGAATATATATATATGTATATATATATATATATAATATATAAGAGAGAGAGAGAGAGAGAGAGAATAGACAGAGAGAGAGAGAAAGAGTGTGTGAGAGAGAGAGAGAGAGAGAGAGAGGAGAGAGAGAGAGGGAGGAGGGGAGGGAGGAGAGAGAGGGAGAGAGGGGAGGGGGGAGGGAGGGAGGAGAGAGGAGAGAGGGAGAGAGGGGAGGGAGGGGAGGAGGGAAAGAGAGAGAGAGAGAGAGTGAGAGGGGGGGAAGAAAGAAGAGAGGAGAGAGAGAGAGAGAAGAGAGAGAGAGAGAGAGAGAGAAGAGAGAGAGAGAGGAGAGAGGAGAAGAGAGAGAGAGAGAGAGAGAGAGAGACAACGTAAATAGATTATAGACACTTGTCCATAAGGGAAACTTTGGAGTTTTCTGTTGAGTGACCCTTATGCACAAGTTTGGCTGTAGTATTTCACATTCTACCACACGTAATGTGTGCTGTGTGCTTGCATGCATGCATGGGTGTGTACCACCTCTGCACTGTCTACATGTGCATGTGCTGTCTATACATGTACTACACTGGTCACACGTTGCGTCCATGCTTTATACGCGTGTGCTGCATTCGTAACGCGCGGTGATGTTCTTTTGCCGAGCAGGACTGGTTTGACGAGGCATGCAAGGCGGACACTCGCGAGGCGCGATTCCTGCGACTCATCCACGACAAGCCCGAAGCGTTTTGCAAGAAGCAGGAGTGGGGCTTCATTCCGTGCGACCAGACGGCGATGGCGGTCGCTCTGGACGACGGTGTTGCCACCGGCTGGCACAGCGAATACGCCACGGTCGAGCTAAACGGTACGGCTGAGGTTCGGTTTCCATGGTTACGGTAATGTAGTAACAGGGAGCATCGAAAAATATCACATTTATACTGTTCTGAGGACGAAAATGATCTTCTGTATGAAAAGCAAAAATAATTGTGCACTTTCGGGTGAGAAAGTCGGAAAGGAAAACGTTCTTTTATTTCCCTTATTCACTAAGTATTTTGCTGTTACACTGACTAACCTTGCCCAGAGGCACTTCTGGTGTGAGTAAGCATGTAAACTTGTGACTATAAATAACAGTTATGCACCTTGCTAGTATTTTACGCGGAAACCTAAAGCTTTTACAGGAGAGTAGATTTTGGTTGTCAACTTTCCAGATGAAAAATTAGAAGTGCTTTTTTGTTAATTTTCGATACCTATCAGAAAGATATGCCATCGTGCTGCACAAATTAGGGCGTGATCAGCTGGTTGTACACTGAACCTTGGGTAACATGATCAGCTAACATTCCGAAAGCGGCCATTTATGAAGGGAGCAGCTAGGGAAAGGTGCAAGGAGTCTGGGATACTCAGAGCGATATCTCAACTATAACTATAACTATAACCAACTGTATATGTTAAAACTGCGTATGTAACCACAACCCTCGTTCCACACACACCCCCAGGTAAATACACTAGAGGGCAGATGGTGATCGACTTCCGGAAAGTGTTGAAGCGGGAACACAACTGCAGAATGGTGACAAAGATTGACCTCGACCGCCTCCGCAGTTGCATGGGGATGGCCATGAACCCAGGATCCAACAAAAGTGGGAAAAGGAAGGCAATGTAGTGCAATCTGTGAATTTCATCATGACCTCAACTGCCATTTTGCTCATGTATATTTTGTATTTCACCTACACTATACAAGTTTGTATACTAAACTAACCTTAACCAAATTGATTTGATAATACAATACATCAGACTAGTCTTCCAGTCGGCATCGAAAGCGGGTTGTTTGGCATATAATTAATAATGATGTAAATTAATGTGGATAAATAAAAAATTATGTGAATTCATTTCAATTGCATCAAAGGTACAAAGAGAGTCATATATACTGTTGTTACTCCTGTCCACAAAAATATGTAGTTTTAATATGGAACCCACAGTGAATATATAGATATATATGCATACCTTTCATACAAAAGCACTGTTGACAGTCTTATCATTATATTTACTACAAAACTTTTGAGAAATATTTTAACTGTGTCTAAACCAGGATGCAGGTAATGACGTTTCCAATGCATGCATCTGCATTTCATCATTTTATTGTTCAATACTTTACTTACAATTGTGACGAGCAAGGTTTTTTATCACGTGGTATTAGTATTTAGAAGTTTGATTAAATTAATTGGCATTCCCTCTTAATTATAAAATGCCTATCATCTGGTTTCAAGTCCTGAGATACAACTGCACTCGTAAAGATGCAAAATGATACAAATACAAATATGAACCCCCCATAAATTGATTCGCTTCAAAACCCCTCCATCTAAATATGCGTAACTGTAAAAACTAGTTATCGACACAGTAACACCAGGAGTATCGATTCCAGATATCTATATTATACACTATACTCAGTAACACTATACTGAGCCATCATGTTTTTGATGGAAAAACGTGACACACTCATAGATTTGGCTCCTATCCGAGAAGGATGGTTATCCCAATCTTGTTATTCCATTACACTATAGGTATACGGTAACACTTATAGTATCAAGAGTACATATAGAGTCTCTATTATGTACTCATGATAGTATATATAGTTTTGGTTATACTACTTATAGATGGTATAAATGGTATATGCTTATAGTACATGTGTTGAATGATATGCTATCATAGCACCAGGAGTAACATCATAGACAAAAAACCTGTATTTCTCTATCATGTTACTCCTGATAGCACTAACATACATACAACGATCCAGGCAATAGTCTACCACATTTTGTACACAAACCAATTCGTACAAATTCAGACCTTGCGTCATTGGTAGTTCAAACAGGTTGAATTATAAAATAAAATAAACGTGCAAACATGGGAAGACATAGGCCCTTGTAAGTTGCAAGACTCCACTAACAAAGCTTTCCTTTTTGACTATTGGGCTGACTAGCAGCAAGAGTCCATAATAGAGACTAGCAGTTATAAGTTGAAAAACCTCACCCTTCCAACAAAGAGTGCAAATACAATTGGAAAGCCAAATTAACAACAAGCGTTTTAAATAGTAGCTCAACTGCACATGGTCCTTTTAAACTATTTGCAAATTCATTGGGATGTATGTAACACTACACGTGATTATATTTATAGAATGCCTTCATCAATATAGCTTTGCGAGTTAAAAACTCCAAAAATTATCAGTAAATTGACAGTTCTAAAACATGCTATTTCTTTACTCTGTACAATTGGGCAGAATGTTGAAAGTGAGCCATTATAGTAATGAATTTGAGCTCATGTCAGTTTTCACGTCCTTATGCTTGCACACAGTAAAACATAAAACAAAGCATTTTTCCACTATCTTTGATGACAAATAAATTCAAATCACCTACAGCAAGCCCTACCACATTTCGTGAAAAGCATGACTGAAACTCAGTTTCGGGAGAAAGGTGTATTTCCTAGCGATGCAAGTTGGTTGGAAACTCATAATTAAGCATCGCTGCAATAAACCGGCCTAGGGTCATCGACGAGATTTTCCAATCGCTATCCAAATGAATGAAATCGGCCGGGCATGCTAGCCTTGATATCGCCGACTCCCACCACACTGATAAACGACACCACTGACACACTGACCAGCCTGCACAGAATACGCACACCGCTGATGACACACGGGAGCCGAATTTCCTATAGATATATGTACAGCAAAACGTAGAAACGTTGTGCATTGTTGAATGTACCTAGCAATGCCAAGCTGAGAGAAAATAGCAAGTGCACTTGGCAATTATTTACGCCCGTAGGGTCTATGTCTCCCTGACCTCTGTTTGACCTGGCTCGTTTAGCTATTTCTGACTAACCCTAACCATATCGGATAGTTACCAGGGTACGTTCCGGTCAGAAATAGCTAAACGAACCAGGTTAAACAGAGGTCAGGGAGACATAGACCTTATCTGCATTATTTACGAGTAGTATCCTGAGATGGATAAACGGCTATACCGAGGACTCTCTCATAAATGCAATCAAAATGAAATATTCTCACATGTGAAGATTCCTATTCCTCCAAACCCATGTGAGCAGTAAGCAGAGCATACTGCTCAGAGTCAATCACTTGATGATGGCTAGAACTACTATTATCTTTATTATATTCTTTTTTATCTTTTTTTTTTTTTAACTGCGAGCATAAATGGCACGTAATGTAGCCAAACTCCAAGTTGTTTGAATTCCCCCATGTACACATGTATTCTACATATAACATGAATGTACGTATATATTCATGGCACCATACATTTGTAAGTTTTTCTAGCAGTTCGTGAACAAACGAGTCTCAGGCATTGCGTCATGACGCAATGGCCAGCACTTAGCATGTAAAAATACTTGTTACAACTTTCGATCTTTTTGCGTTACCATGAAAGCACATTTACTACACACGAGATCTCACGAGGCGTTAAAAGCACTACAGGTAGCAACAACCCCAGTCCCACACCTTCCCCGTGCATTTTACAACCAGCCACGAGAATACAGCTTTCACAGTCTGACAACAGAGACGCACACCACCACTGCTAGTGCGGCCTGCTAACCATGGAATCGGAATGGTGCCGTGCTCTGTTCCTCAGTCTGTTTTTGTCTGCTGGCTGGGGTCCTCTTATGAGATCCTGTATGTGCTGCACTATAAGGTCTATAGCCACAGTGTTCTCTGCCCCTCGAGGAATGATCACGTCAGCATACTTTTTTGTCTGATATCAAAAAGGAGTGCTGTCAATATCAACTAGGCATCAGGTTCAATGTCTGTATTAACCTACATATATATATATATGCACACATATATATATATGTGTGTGTGTATATATTATAGGGCATGCACATATCTATACCTATATAGGTTATTATATACCAGAGTTGCCCTGCCCATAAACGGAAAAAGATACGGTTATCTAGATACATGACCTTGTGATGTATACAATGTCTTACAATTCTGCTCTAAATAGCTGAACTCTCCCAACTCACTGTAGGTCAAACCGAAAACATGCCAGTAACATACATTGGCAAGCCATGTGTCTCATGACCAGTTTTGTACACTAAATGCACGTAAGGGGCGTCGTTGGCAGATATTATGGTTACCAGGAAATGTTTGACTGGCAGAAAGGGGTTGAATTTTTATTTTTTTTAGGACGAGAGGAGTATTGCCTTTGGGCTTGCACAATTTTAGAGCACCATGCTAAGCTGAAGGGGCAACCAAGGCAAACATTTCTTTCAAAGAAGAGTCATAAACGTCACTTACTTTTTAATAATACTTTGCATACATGTGGGATAGTTAGGAATACACGTGCTATACGGGACTTGGAAGGGACACGAGACAAACCAGGAATGGTTTTAAGGGGCACATGGAAAGCATGGAGGGAAACCACAACACTTTCTGTTGGTGTCGTGGTGGAATTTGTTTCCTGTTGTGAGTACAGCAATCGAGCACCACAGCACAGGTTATAAAACTCTTGCTAAACATATATTCCTCGATAAACCATGCACACTTACTGGCAAGCAGAAATCCTCAAATGAAGGTTTCACAAATGTGATGTATTGGTTTAAGACTAGCTCCAGGTCTCTGTTCATCTCTAGCGTGTCTTTTCTTACTGTAAGTGAAAATGTTCTAAAATACTGACTACGACAGATATACATGATTAACACATGTTCCCAGAACTTTGATAATATTCTACATATGGCATGATTGTGTGACATTACTTATCTATATTAAAGCCAATGTTTGTAGCTTGTAGAATACATTTTGAAACAGTAAATAAATATATACTCACACTCTAGATCAGACACACTTGGAACAACAAGATATTTCTTTATGTATCTATACTGTAAGTAATTTGCTCATAAGGTCTATGTCCCCCCAGGGTACTGCCGGAACGTAACCTGGGTACGGTCCGGTATACCGGAACATACCCTGGTCACTATTTGATATGGTTAGGGTTAGGATTAGGGTTTGGGTTAGAGTTAGGGTTAGAGAGTAGGCGTAGGCGACTCCCTAGACTCGTTAGTGGAGCAGGCGAGGTACGGTACGGCATATTAGATACTACCAGGTAGGACTGTCATTGATGCCCACCTCATCGATAAATCGCGATGGATTTGCGTCCGACATCGATATCGAAATAAATCGAGAAATAGCGATCCAATTTCTTTTTTTTCTTTTCTAAAATGTAGCCAGCGAAGCATCGGTAGGATTTTTGACTAAGCGCCGCCATTATCGGAAGTAGTGCAGGACGCATGAATACAGAGACAATCAATAACTGGTGTTCTATTCAGGGATGAGATTGGATAATTTAATTTTCAGCTGAAATTTTAATTAGCAAACAGAAGAGCGAGCAATGCGAGGACCGTAGGTCAATTTTTTTTAAAGAATGGTGCAATTTGGTGCATTCTAAGCTATTCTGAACACATTATAGGAGACTCTTGAATCACCTTTTCAAGTTGTCAAAAGGAACAAACGAACTATGAATAGGAAATCACGGGGCTGAAAATAGGGCAAGTTTTTTTATTAAATGTCTAGACATAATGATCTTTTTCTTCTTCCCGTGGCTTGCATTGTTTTACTCAGACATAAGCTGCCTTGCTGCGACCAGATTTGAATGAAAAAAACACAATGCGAATGGAACAATCAGTGCATAGTCATGCACACAACATGCACGCAGCAACATGTAAACCTGGGGCCCGTTGCCAGAAAAAAATTAGTCTTAACATTAACCTTAAACTTAAGTTTTTCTCTTAAAGCGTTGCCAGAAACTTCGTAAAGTTAAGAGAATTAAAAATTCTCGTAACTTTTCTCTTAACTTAAGAGATCATAGACCCTCCCTTAACTTTAATATTAAGTTGAAAATAACACATTTACACCACGAATTACAATTATAGTGATATTATATTTTATAATAATGAATAAAATGTGTTTTTCTTGAAAAACACGTCAAAATCATTAATTATCTACCGCTAATAAAACAATACATTTATAAATGACGTATGGCATTTGTTCTCTTGTTTCAAAAAGTTTGCAACGATTGCCACGATTCTCGCGTCTCTTGTTACAGTGTGAGAATTTGTCTTGTTGTGCAGAATTAATTCATGACACGTAATATTTCACAAATATTATTTATATGTGTTTAGCCATCATAATATGCATAAATTACTGTGATGTACAATAAATGTGTATGAATTTGAATTTTGTGATCGATTCCATCCAATCAGCAGCCTTGTGATGAAGTTCCTGTTATCGTAAGTTTCACTTAAGTAAGTTTAGTTTAAGTGGTTTCTGGCAACGCTATTAAAATTAACCTTAACATTAACATTAGACTTAAAATTAATCGTAACTTGGTTGTGTGTGTGTGTGTGTGTGTGTTACGAAGTTTCTGGCAACGGGCCCCTGGTCCCCAGGCCAGGCATGGTCGTTACGTGATCAGCTACCTCAAATGTTTGCCCCTCTACTGCAGCCTGTGAACGAGGATTTTCTTTTCTGGTACGCAAAAACAGATACACTGTATACTTCGCTGTCAGCCTACTGTCTACACTCTACAGTCTACAGTCAGGTGCTGTTGAGGGTATATAATTTAAATTGTTTAAATTGTTACATTGTTACCCCCCTCCCAATTTTCTCGACGAATTTAGACGTTTCACAAAATCGACCCCTGGGACTGTCAAATCCGCGGATTTCCGCGGATCCGCGGAAGAATCTCATCCCTGTCTATTGTCTCTGGTGCGTATCCTGTCTCACTGATCTGTATAATAAAATCTGTCTACCATAAAAGCATGTCTGCTGCTTCGCCATCGCCGCGACGCCAGGTCAATCTGGTTGAATTCCGGTAAATATACTTCGCCATGTTGCATTTAAGCACAGCGATGTATAAAATACATAGTTATCATAAGTAGAACACAATACATTAGTTTACTGTACTTTCACGGCTCATGTTTAATTACATAATTATTAAATCGAATCGGATCGAATCGGATCTGAATATCGAAAAAAAAAATATCAATAATCGAATCGAAATAATTTGATACCAATGACAGCCCTAATACCAGGGTATGTTCCGGTATACCGGACCGTACCCAGGGTACGTTCCGGCAGTACCCCGGAGACCCTCTCAGCGTAAGTAATATCTTACCCCTTCTCTCTAGTCTGGTGTCAGGATCTGTATCTACAAAGCACTTCATGTTGAACAGATCTCTGATTCTCTTGTCGTAGAAAGCAAGAATTCCCTCGAATAAGACTACATGTACATCGGATGCATGGACAATTGCATACTTGTCTTTTAACCTGTACAAGTGCAAAAGATAAGGCCACGACAGACAGCTCAGTAGATTAACTCATTCTGAATAAGAAACTGTCCAAAACCATTCAAATAGACGCATTTCAATAGAACATATTGTAAATACAACGTCATGCTACAGCTGAGTAATCATCATAAAAGCGCAAGGGGATATCGGTTTGCCAAAAAGATTAAAGCACTTATCACGACGTTCTGTTAAACGCAGATAAACGTGCTGTTATGAGAAGTCCAAGGTTTAAATATATATAGATGCAAAAAATGTTGATTTCAAATTCAAGTTCAAGTATATAGAAACTTTTGAAAGCGTTACACGAATGTGATGGCGTTGACAACGATGGACGTAGCACTTATGCGTCGCTCAAAACATACAGATTCCGTGTAACGATCACCAACCTGAGATTCTGAAAAAGAAGCAGTAAAATAAGATAAATGACTTCAAGTTTTGCAATTCACTGAGCCCAAGAATGGGTAACACGTACGTACCTAGCATTACTCTTAAAATCATACAGTGGCATTTTGACAATCTTCCTGGCTATGATGTCTGTCAGCGTCTTATGCATTTGATGAATGTCCAAGGCACCTGCAATGACACAAACATTACGATGTATTTATTACAGTTAGAATTTTTAATATGACAATGTACTTTTAATTATAACAGTATGCGAAATGCATTATAAACAAATTTATCCTACTCATTATACATAATGAAAGTGTCAATGACACTGCAGCTCACCACAAAAAAAAGACACAAATGAGTGAGTAAGAAGAAGTTAGTTTTAATTGAGCCAACCATCGACGTACATTATGGAAACGATTGCCATCTGTATATCGCAATAATAATTTATAAACCAAAATAAATCACAATTTGTGACCGTAGATGGCGCTATAATACCCGCTTTGTAGCGATGGCGTTTGAAATAAATAGGTTATGCTGCGTTCCGACATGTTTTGTAAAACTTTACTCTAATATAGACGTTTTATCGGCAGGGTGGAGAGGAAATACCAATTTTGCATTAAAGATATTGTCAATGAAATCTTGTAAAACGAACCAGACGAGTGTGACACCACAGACTGTTTGTGTCTATATAATATGCTATGTAATTGCCAAACCCTACCTAATTTGCATAATTCTTTTTTTAAATATCAAAACCCCTAGCCCTTATTCATAATTTCATTCACATACCAAAAATGAGCAAAACCCGTTGAACCTGAACTGACTAATGGCAATTCCCATTTTTGCCAAAAAATTGCCGTGGCTCGAAAGTACGTCGACTGGCGTGCTTCAAAATAGGACGTTTAATATGGGAGCATAGCAGTAACAACTATACCCAATTTCAAACATGTGGGTCAAACGGTTCCTGAGTTATCGTTGACTGTAGCGAAATGTTGACGGACGGACGGACGACGACCCATGGCAATAGCTCAGCTTGACGATGTCAAGGTGAGCTAATAAATATATTAAGGTTTCTTATACATAAGAGGCACAGTGGCGCACCACCGTCGTCAAATTTAACATCGCCGTTGTGAAAATGTTCCTGTATTTACTGATACGTAAATCCTGTATCTATGTACCTATAAGTATATCAATACACCCTGTATTTCAATCCACCATGCATGTTTTTCCCAAAACTGGGCATTACCGCCTTTGTCTAATTTTCCCTCAGAAGAAACCCTGTTACTAATAATTAAGTAGTAAGAGTACTAGAGTACTAGAAGTAAGTAACTATCCTCTAATAAGTTCCTCTTCACACAGCATTCTGACAGCCATTACGTATCAAATGAAAGACGTGTCATGACGTTTTAATGATCATGTAATTTCTAAAGCACGTAAAAGCATTGTAATGAAAATTACGCTATTAATGAACAAGGAATCGAAAAGAAACATTTTACCTGGGTGATCAAAGTTGTACTGGCCAAGATCAGCTTTCTCTCTGTCTTCAGGCGTCAAATCCTTGTAAAAAGACTCCTGGCCAATGATAACTACTCGCGCTTCATGCTCTTCTCCCAACTTCTCCTTGATTCTCTTGCACACGGTTGACTGAAATAGGTGATGTCGATTTATATAAATAGTTACCAAGTTCGTAGTTGATGTTTACGTAGTCACGAATTTCGGAATTATATGATTACCAACAACACTGCTGAAGAACTATGCAGAGATCATAGTGTAGTGGCCATAGGGGTAGCCGCTATATGAATTATGTGCGTGTGAATGCACTATTGTTTTTTGCAGGATAATTTCTTGCTCCCGGTGGCAAAGCGGGACTGTGTTGCATGGCAGCAGGTGGCAAAACAATGAGACAAATAAACACAACGCAAGGTACTTAAGTATACGGAACCGGTAGCTTTATTGCTCATACACACACTACAGTTATGCAGTATCGTACCTGAGGGTTATCCGAGACGTTATGAGTGCTCTGACTGTGTGACGTACTATTTGTCGTAACTATAATATTTAATGACAGAAGGCCAGTGAACGGTTACGTGCGAAAATATAGGTGCTTCGGCGTGAACGCGAACCCGACGTATCTATTGAGATTGTCGGGAGTGAGAATAAGACGTAACGGCACCTGCTGTCGGCGTTCTCCTCCCTCCTCTCTTCGTCGCGCCGTTTCTCGTTCCTTCTTCTTTCTTCTATCTTCTGCCTTCTCTCTTCCTTCTTCTGTCTTCTCTCTTCTTTCTTCTCTCTTCCTTCTTCTTTCTTCTTTCTTCCTTCTTCTTTCTTCCCTCTTCTATCTTCCTTCTTCTTTCTTCTGTCTTCTCTCTTTCTTCTTCTATCTTCTCTCTTCTATCTTCTTTCTTCTGTCTTCTCTCTTCATTCTTCTCTCTTCTCTCTTCTATCTTCTTTCTTCTGTCTTCTCTCTTCATTCTTCTCTCTTCTTTCTTCTATCTTCTTTCTTCTGTCTTCTCTCTTCCTTCTTCTCTCTTCTCTCTTCTATCTTCTTTCTTCTGTCTTCTCTCTTCCTTCTTCTTTCTTTTGTCTTCTCTCTTCCTTCTTCTTTCTTCTTTTTTCTGTCTTCTCTCTTCCTTCTTCTTTCTTCTGTCTTCTCTCTTCCTTCTTCTTTCTTCTGTCTTCTCTCTTCCTTCTTCTATCTTCTCTCTTCAATCTTCTTCCTTCTATCTTCTTCCTTCTATCTTCTTCCTTCTATCTTCTTCCTTCTATCTTCTTCCTGCTATCTTCTTCCTTCTCTCTTCTATCTTCTTTCTTCTGTCTTCCATCTTCTATCTTCTT